TTTATTTATTTGTTTGTTTGTTTGTTTGTTTGTTTATTTATTTTAATTTGACCAGAGAGGGACGGGGGTGGGGGTGGAGCAGTGAGAAAGCAATCCACGAGGTCCAGGATTCGAACTGTGGTCAGCCACATGGAAGTCCAGCACCATTAACCACCACACCATCTGACAGCCCCTCCAGTTCAAAAATGTTATGCTAAAGTTTAGCTGATATAAATTTATAATATCAATATAGTGTTTTAGACCTTTGTCTAAGCTATACTTAGCTTGTTGTCTGGCTCTGTTCTCCATAAGTGGAATTTCCTTTAATGCTACTGCCCTGTAGTGTCAGGGAGAACATCCACCACTATATGCTTTCTGTGTTACATAATCACTGTCATTAGTTTTACAGTTTTCTTTAGGCCACTGGGAGAAATTATCTCTGGTGAAGACAGTGGTGAAATCTATTACTGTACTGTCTAAACAAGTACAAATCATTATAGCATTTATATTTGTAAACAATAACTTATCAAAATGAATGTTATAAGGAAAAAAAGAATCAAATAACACCTAGAAATAGCACAAGATGATTTAACCAGTACCCTTGTCCCTGAAAACATTTTTTGATCAGCCTCACTGCATGGCTCTAGGACAGTAATTAATGTTCAGGGTAAGTTCAAGGTGCTGACTTCAAAATCCTTAAGATGTTATAATTAACATAGTTTATGCTAAGAATATACTGTAGTACAGTCTACTTTTTAAACTGATAACTTGTGACCAGCAGGTGGCATGGTGGTTAAGGTACTGGACTCCCACATAGCCAATACCGGTCTCAGTCCCAGACCTGGTGGTTTGAAAATCATGCCAGGTGCATGTGCATGCTTGCATAAAATCCCAGGAGAAGAATGGAAGGGAAGGAACTGTGGTGTGGCCATCCCTCCTTGGGGGTGATTTCTCACTTTCCCTCTCACTGTTTCTCTCCTATGAGCGCACATGCCCTATGGCAAAAATCTTAAAACAAAACAAAGGATTAATTGAAGAATGATAGAAAAAGCCATGTTTGGGCCAGCAGGTAGCCGATGCTGGACTCCCACATGGTTGACCATGGTTCAAGTCTTAGACTTGGTGACTTACTTACTCACTTTCCCTCCTTCTCTCTCTGGTCAAATTAAAAATAATAGTAATAGGGCCAGACGATGGTGTAGCAGTTATGCTGCCAGACTCCCACATGGCCATCCATGGTTCGAGTGCTGGACTTGGTAGCTTAAAACTCACACGTGTGCAAGTGTAGCCAAGATCCTAGGAGGAAAATGGAGAAGGGATTGTGGTGTGAGCACCCCATTAAAAGGTGATCTCTCACTTTCCCTCTCGCTGTCTCTGTCTCTCTTTGACAAGCACACGTGCCCTGAGGGAACAACCTCTAAAAATTAATTAATTAATTAAATTCAATAAATAATTCTTCTAAAAAAGTAAGAAAAAGCTACTTCTTTAAACCAAATATCTGCTAGAATGATACCCATTCCCAATAGATCAAACATAGTTTAATTAAAAAAAATAACTTCATTTCCTTAATAGATAGTATCTTTTAGAATACATCCCAGGCTTACTATGCTATTTTCCTTGACATCAAACACTATAGAAATATATTGATCTTTTTTTTTTTTTAAGAGGTTTTTGCTATAGGGTGCATACGCTTGCCAGAAAGACAGAGAGACACAGAGTGACAGAAAGTGAGAAATCACCCCCCAGGGGGGATGGCCATGCTGCAATCCCTTCTCCTCCATTCTCCTCTCGGGATCTTGGGCACACACGCACACTCATTCGTAGGTTTAAGCCACCGGGTCCAGGACTTGAACCGTGGCCGACTACATGGGAGTCCAACGACATAGCCATTAAGCCAACTGCTGGTCCCAAAATATACTGATCTTAATAAATTGTCTAATTCACTGGTTGTTAATAATATTTAAAAGAGGCATAGAACAATGAAATATCATATAAATAGGTTAAAGAAATGAACATTTAGCATAAAAAATTTACATCAAGGTTGACAAGGAAAAGTTTCCCTGCAAAGTATCTTTTCATCCTTTTATATATATTTTTAAGACAGTGTCTCACTATGTGACCATCAACCTGCCTCAGTCTTCTCAAGCCACTGGGATTATCACAGGTGCATGCCACTATACCCAGTCTTTAGGCCGGACTGGGAATCAGCTCAGACCTCTTGTGCGGTCCCAGCCTGCACAGCACAGCATTTTAGCAGCATACTCTACTGTGGCTGGGCCACAGTGTTATTGGTTTGTTTGCTTGTCTATTTGCAATCTGCTAGAGAGTACATATACTCACTGGATAAAAACAGAAGAAAAGAAAGAAAGCACCCCCTATGGGTGATGGTCACAACGCAACCCCTTCTCTATTTCTCCTTTTGGGATTTTGGGCATGTACACATACGTGTCTAAGGTGTTTTTCAAGCCACTGGGTCCAGATTCACACTACATAGTTGGTCATATGGGATCCAGCTGCTTCAATCACAATGCCAATGGGCTGTCTCAGTTTTTCTTTTTTGCGCAAAGCTGTCACTGAGTGTCGTTTTCTTGTTTTTAGGTTCTTGCCATAGGCATGCATTTGCCAGAGAGAGTCAGAGAGAGAGGGAAAGTGAGAAACCAACCACCAGGAAGAATGGCTATGCCATAATCCCCTTGCCTCCATTCTCCTCCCAGGATTTTGGATTTTGGGCACACACACATGTGCCCAGTTTGATTCTCAATCCACCAGGTCTGGGACTCGAACTATAGTCGGTCTTGTGAGAATGCAGAGTCTTTATCACCTTGCCACCTCCTAGCCCATCAGAGTATTTTTAACAAGAAACTTTTGGTTCTAAAAATGTGACTTTTTTGGGGGGGCTGGTAGGTGGTGTGTTGGTTAAGGTGCTAGACTCCCACATAGTTGACTACAGTTTGAGTCCTGGACCTGGAGGCTTGCTTTCTCACTATTTCTCTCTGTCTTTCTGTGATCACATTTAAAAAACAATAATGATGATAGGGAGCCAGCAGGTAGTATGGTGATTAATGGCCCTGGACTCCCCACATGGCCAATTGAGGTTTGAGTCCCAGACCTGGTGACTTGCTTTCTCACTCTCTCTTTCTTGCTCTCTGTCTACCCCCCTCTCTGGTCAAACTAAACTAAACTAAAGTTAAAATAAAATAATTCTTTTAAAAATAATAATAATGATGGATAAAATTAACTAAATTCTTTTTAAAAAATTTTTAAATTTAAAATGTGATTTTTCTTACTTGAAATTATTTAATCCTATTCTTCTAGTTTCCGTGTGTCTTTGGTATTTTTAAAAAGGCAGATGAAAATTTAAGACCATGAAATAATTGCCCTGAATTGCCAAAACTAACATAAATAATAAATGTATCAATCTGCTTTTCTAGTAGATTAAAAACCACTGTTCTTAAAAATAACACAAGTGGGGACCAGCAGTTAGCGTAACGGCTAAGTTGCTGAACTCCCATGTAGTTGACTGCAGTCCGAGCCCTGGACTCGGTGGCTTAAATTCACACCAGGCACATGTGCGTGCATCCCCAAGATCCTGAGAGGAGAATGGAGGAGAAGGGACTCCTAGCATGGCCATTCCCCCTGGGGAGTGATTTCTCGCTTTCTGTCTCTCTGTCTTTCTGGTGAGCGCACACGCCATATAGCAAAAACCCTACCAAAAAAAAAAAAAAATAGCACAAGTGAAATCAATTCAATACAATTGCTCCTTAGAACAGCAGTAATGTGGATTCAGATGCACTGCCATCTTGAAATATATACATTCAGTGAAAAGCAAAGCAAAATAGTCTTATTTCTTTAGCTGTACCTGCTCATCTCTTTGTCTCCATTCCTGCCAGTTTTCTTCTCGTGAATCCTTCTGTGCTGGGTTTGACAATGAAAGCTCATGTTGAGTGTTACAAATGGCATGTGAGGATTTCTGGGGAATTTTCTTAAAAGCAAGATTCCTGAGCTATAAAACAAATGAACAAAATATTAAATTCAGTTTACCAATCTGGAATGGTAATATTTTAGAATTAAAAATATAATAATGTTATTTTTATATTTCTACTCCAAAAACACAACTAAAATAAAGTTACTATTTGTGTTTCTGTAATCTTTTTAGAAGATGAACTTTGCCACCACTTGAGATAATACTGACAGACCTATAGAAATGAAAGTGAAAATGAATTATACTCACTGCTTTAGAATCACTAAAGAGGAATCCCTCTTTACTAAAGAGAAGTTTATAGGATTAGAAAACAGTAAATAAATGTGCTTTTAAAATTCAAAGCAGTATCTTTCAAAATACTTACAAATTTAAAATTTAAACAGTGAGAGACCACTTAAACAACCCTGGCAACTGTTTTGCTAGTCCTGACAAATACAAGACCTAGTTCACAAAATAGCATAAAGAACTAAACCCATACAGACAAAGCCACTGCCAACTAGAATAATCTGAGACACAGTAGTTAAAATGAGGAAAAAAAAAAAAAAAAACCACACTGGGAGGCTGTAACAGACTGAATTGTATTCCCCCAAAGATATAATGAAGACCTAATCGCCAGCATCTGTGATGTGACCTTATTTGGAAACTGGGTCTTTGCAGATGCAATCAAATTAATATGTGGTCATACTGAATCAGGATAGGACTTAATCAAATATGACTAGTGTCCTTACTTCGGAAGAGGTGAAGAAAGAGATACACAAGGCAATTCCATGTAACAACATAAATGGAGACTTCAGTATGAGGGTGCAAGTCAAGGAACCCCAAGGATTAACAGCCAATGCCCAGAAGCTAAGAAGAGGCATGAAAAGATACTATTCAGTCTCAGAGACAGAATGGCCCCACTGACACCTCGCTTTGAGTTTCTAGAGTCTACAACTGTGAGAGAATACATTTCTGTTGTTTTAAGGCATCCAGTTTGTAGTACTTAATGTCAGCTCTAGGAAACCCATAAAGAGGCTTTAGACTGAGGATCAACAATTTTATCTGATAATCGATATACAGTTCTACAAAATGGAGTGGTGAGATCCAAACCATACTTTAAATAGCCACTTACTGCTGTAGAGATGAGATGCTAGAAATGAAGCGCTGGCAGTCAGAGTGTCGCTTTACTTTATAGAAAATAAAGACTGACAGAACCACAGGGAGCTCAAGTGGAAAGTAAGGCTCCTTCATGTTATTTATCAGTCACAGTTCCTTAATCTCTAATGAAAACTCCAGTATTACCTTGTTTTCTGTTTCCCGCACATAATCTTTAATTCCAAAAAGAAAATAATGAGCAATCAAAAGTTCTCAAAGTTCAGACTTATGAAAGGTTATCCAGTGGGGACAATGACTTTCTTTCATTTTAAAGTTAGTCTCTGTGTGGCAAAGAATATTTAGAAAGAGGGACCAGCAGTTAGTGTAATAGCTATGTCGCTGGACTCCTATGTAGTTGACCACAGTTCAAGTCCTGGATGGTGACTTAAACACACCGGGCACGTGTGCGTGCATGCCCAAGATCCCGAGAGGAGAATGGAGGAGAAAGGATTGCGGTGTGGCCATCCCACCTGGGAGGTGATTTCTCGCTTTCTGTCTCTCTGTCTCTCTCTCTCTCTCTGACGAGCGCATGTGACCTACAGCAAAAAAAACTCTCAAAAAAAAAAAAGAATATTTAAAAAGAAATGGCAATGAAAATATAATAGAAACAAATTTAAATTGAGAGCCAGGCAGTGGCGCAGAGTGAAGCAGCTGAACACACGCAGGAAGTTCCCGGGATTGCACCTTGGGACTTCCCTGAGCATGTGGGGCATGCTCTGGCCTGACTAAGATTGGGTGTGCTGGAGTATCTCTCAGAGGAACTAAATAAACAAATGTTATTTAAACAAAAAAAACAAACAAACAAACCAAAAAACATGTTTTGAAGTCTTAAGACATTTTAAAATGAATATAGAGCCTAGCTACAGCACCGTGAGGGGGAAGGTGTCACCATGTGGTGGCTGAGACCAGATGAGAGGCCCACATTTGTTTTCCAACCCAATTTAAAACATGGCAGGCCTGTTAGCACTTCCCTGTGGTCCTAGATAACTGGGAAGCTAGGGCAGGAAAGTTGCAACAATGTGGTAAGACCCTGTCCAAAAAAATAAAAAAGACTAAATAAAAAATAAAATGAGGGCCAGCTCCATCACAAGCAATTAGCCACTAGGCAAAAGAAGCCGATCCTGTATAGCAACTGGATTTAAACCCCAGCCCCAGTGGTAATACGACAGACATGTGTGCTTATACCTGGTATCCTAACAAGAAGCTGGAAGAAGAAAAACAGCATGACCAGGCCCTGCTGGAGGATACTCTCTTATGTGTGTGCATGTACACTCTATTATGAATAAAGGGGGAAACAACCTTAAAAAAAAACTTAAAAAAAAGTAAAATGAATATGGAGAGAAGACACATTTTTATTACTCTCATCAAAGATATTGTGAAAGGTCCTTTTAAGGCTGGTCATGGGATTACTCACTATAACAGTAAAAAAATGAGTGACAACCTAAATGTTTATCACAAGAGTTCAATTAAAGTATGATGTAAGCACATAATTAAATAATATAGGTTCACTTAAAATACTGTAGCTCTGTATTCACTAGTATGGAAAACTGGTCATGGCTAATTTTTTAAAAAAGGTAGTTATAAATGGTCTATTATATGCCATCTTAATGTATGACTATAGCAATATTTATGTTTATATAAACTTACATATATATCAAAACATTAATTGTTTATATTTCTACTTATCTCTATGACTATCTTTTCTTTTAAAATGTCCCTGTTTTAAACTTTGGAATGAAGCTTCCACAGTCAGAAAAAAACTAAAGGCATTTACGAAATGTTCACTATAGACCAGCCCCATGGCCTGGAGGTTAAAGGAGCAAGATCCTAAGTGGCCAACCACATGGCTTAAATCCTAGCCCCTTGGCTTGAGAAACATGATGATCTGTATGTGTATGTGTATGTGTATGTGTATGTGTATGTGTATGTGTATGTGTGTGTCCCCAAAATCCTGATGGTACGGAGAAGTGGAGAAAGGGACTGTGGCATGATTATGCCCCCCTGAGGCATGTTTTCTCTCTACTTTTATTTTTGGTGAGTGCACACACCCTCTGGCCATTAAAAAAAGTAATTACATATTACTTTACATATATACCATTTTAAATCTATTCACTCAAGTCACATGAACTATATACCTCTGGACCAAGTAGTGTGGGTATATATGTGAACAACAGCGAGCCTGCCCTCATGATGCTTACGTAAGCCCATTAGGAAAGCAGACAACACCAACAATCATAATTGTTACCTCATTTGCTTCACTCTGTTGCTGTTCTTTCTTTTTTCTTCTCTTCTCTCTTTTCTTCTCATTTGTAGTTGATTTGCTTCCCAAAGATTGAGACTTCCCAGTATTCCGACCTTTGCCTTTTCCAGGCTCTGAATCAGAACCACTGCCACTATCCACTTGTAACAGGGCGAAACGAGACGCTGTAGTGGGAACAGAACTAAGAACGGCTGAGGCCATCATGAAGATTTTTCTTTTAAAGTACTTTTGTCAAGAATAATTCCTATGAGGAGGGAGAAGGAGGCAGATGAGTAATAATAAAATTTGTTCTCAATTCTAAATAATCACAAGTATATACATATATATATATATATGACATTTCTCCTGATACTGGATTTAGTAAAATATCTGGATTCACATAAATAGTCCTACTGGTAAAACCACACTTTTACTTTTTTTTTTTTTTTTGAGAGGTTTTTTGCTATAGGGCGCGCGTGCTCGCCAGACAGACAGAGAGAAACATAGAGACAGAAAGCGAGAAATCACCCCCCAGGGGGGATGGCCACGCCGCAATCCCTTCTCCTCCATTCTCCTCTCGGGATCTTGGGCACGCATGCACACGCGCCTGGCATGAGTTTTAAGCCACCGGGTCTGGGACGCGAACCACGGTCAACTACGTGGGAGTCCAGCGACATAGCCATTACGCTAACTGCTGGTTCCCAAAACCACAGTTTTTAACTTAACAATATAAAACTGAATATTAAAACAATGATATATTGAGATTTCACAGATAACTCCTACAAGACTGTACCTACATAATCTGTTCATTTTCCCATATGCGGTTTGAGGCTCAGCTGTGATGGTTCAAGTGACAGAGCTCAACTGCATGAGGTTGGGGCCACATGGTGAGGCCTGGGTCTGGTTCCTAGGCCAACCTAAACGGCCAGGCATGGTGCCAAGTGCTCATAGTCCTGGCTAACTGGGAGGCCAGGGCAAGGGGATCATGACATGGTAAGACCCTGCCAAAACAGTTATCTGTCTCTCCCTCCCATTTTAAAAAATAAAGGAAATGAGGTCCGGATCCAAAGTTAAATAAATAAAAAATAGTTTTAGAAAACATGAATTTCTATACATATTTAATTAAGACCCTCTAAAAGTAATATGGGTTATAATATTGGGTCATCAGAAAAGTTATGACGTATTTTTTTCTATGTTTTTCTATGCAAAAATGTGTCATGATTTCCCCAACAACTCAATAAAAACAGGAGTATCATTTTTCACTATACACAAAAAGAGACCCTTAGTCCAATGTTTATCCCAACTTCCAAGACAAGAAAAAAAAGGAGTAGGACGAGAAGAACGGGCTCAGTTACAGTAGCACGGTGGCAGCACAACTCTGCAGTGCTGGAGGCCATGTGGAGGAACTGAGTTCCATTTCTAGGCTGACCAGTGTAAATCGGGTACGCATAGATGCCCATGTCCTGGCCGGATGGGAAAGGCTGGGGCCGGGAAGTCTTGCAGTAAGGCCTGCTGAGGATGCTTGTCTTTCCAGGCTTCCCTCCCTCCCCTCCTTCCCTCTCTCTCAACTTATTTTTTTTTAAGAAGTTTTTGCCTTAGGGTTCATGCATTCACCAGACAAAGAGACAGAGACAGTGAGAGGGAAAGTGAGAAATCCAGGGGGGATGGACAGGCCGCAATCCCTTCTCCTCCACTTGTCCTGGGATCTTGGGCATGGATGCACACATGCCCAGCCTGAGTTTCAACCTACCGTATCCAGAATTCAAACCACAGTCCGTGATGTGGGAGTCCAATAATATAACTGTTACAAAATTTTCTGGCCCCTCAATGAACTTTTTAAAAAAGAATAATATCATATACAAAATATGCATCAAGTTTGATTCTAGAGACTCTGATTTTAAAATGACAGCAAAATAGGGGGTAGCAGGTGGCATGGTGGTTAAGGTGCTGGACTCCCACAGCCAACTGTAGTTTGCTCTCTCACTTTCCTACACATACTCTCGCTTGCTCATTCTCCCTCTGATGAGTTTATGTGCCCTGTAACAAATTAAAATATAATAATAATGGGGACCAGCAGATGGTGTAATGGTTACGTCACTGGACTCCCATGTAGTTGACCACAGTAGAGTCCTGAACCAAGCAACTAAAAACTCATGTGGATGCATGTGCATGCGTGCCCAAGATCCAGAGAAGAGAATAGAGGAGAATGGAGGAGAAGGGATTGCGGTGTGGCCATCCCCCCTGGGGAGTGATTTCTTTCTCTCTCTCTCTCTCTCTGGAGAGCACACACCCTCTAGCAAAAATCTCTCTCAAAAAGAAATGATGATGATGATGATAAATAAAATTAAATAAGTAATTCTTAGGGGAACAAAATGACAGCAAAATAAATAGCTTAAATATTTCAACCCAAAGAAACTTTTCAAAAACACTATTATCTTTTAGTTCACTAGCCTCTATGTACCACACCATTCCAAGTACAGGTGGGTGTGGTTTCATTGAGTATTTTTGTCAAGCTTTTCAAGATTCTTTTAGTCTCCAAAGGAATCTTAAAGGTCCTCTAGTAATGTCTAACCCATATCATTTAGTTTCACAGATTAAGTGAACTTTAGACAAGTTAAGTGTCTTGCCCAAGGTCATTCTGCAAGTTAGTATCAGAGTCAGGATGTGAACCCACATTTACTGATTCTGACTCTGCAAGAGTAAAGAAAGTGAGGATCAGCAGATAGCATAGCAGTTATGTCGCCGAACTCCCACATGGTTGACAGTGGTTGGCGTCTCAGACCCGGTGGCTTGAAACTCATGGGCGCATGTTGGTGCATGCCCAAGATTCTGGGAGGAGAATGAAGGAGAAGGGATTGTGAAACGGCCATTCCCCCCACCCCGGGTGATGAGGTCTCACTTTCCCTCTGTCTCTCTCCACCCAACCTAAGGCAAAAACCTCTTTAAAAAAGGAGTAAAGAAAGAAGCCCTGTAACTATAGGCAGATTACTCCTTCCTATTACAACAGACACAGATTTTCTTCTTCTCATGAGAGCAAGCAAGTGAGCATGGAACAGGGGAGGAAAATGAGAGAATTTTTTTTAAGAATTTTTTTGCCATGCTGCAATCCTTCTTGCATCAGCCTCCCAGCCAGCTTTGAAACACAGGCGCATGTTACTGTGCCCAGCCTGTCTAGGTTGGGTTGGGAACCAAATCCTGGCCTCTCATGTGGCCCCATCCATCGTGCAATGGCACTCTCTTCCTTGCACCATCATGACTGGGCCAAGATTTTCTTCTCTTTCTCTTTCTCTCTCTCTTTTAGATTTTTGCTATAAGGTGCCTGCACTTGCTCAACAGAGAGACAGAAAGCAAGAAATCACCTCCAGGAAGAATGACCACACTGTAATCCCTTCCCCTCCATTCTTTTCTCAGGATTTTGGGCATGCACGCACACATGCCAGACCTGAGTTTCAAGCTGCCATGTCCAGGACTTGAACCACAGTTGACCACATGAGAGTCCAGCACCTTAACCACTATGTCACCTGCTGGCCCCAGGCCAAGAGTTTAATATTGTGCAGCTCAAATATATTATTTTGAAATGTTATTAGGTACACAAAACATTATAAATAAAAAATTTAGTTTTAAAAAGTAAAATGAACACTCCAAATACCCAGCACTAACATTAACAGAATATTACCCAATGCCTGTGCATTCCTTCCCTGCACTATTATCCTGATTTTTGTATAACTTATTTCTTTGCTTTTCTCTACAGTTATCATACTTGTCTTGAGTCACCCGTTCATATCCAAACTAGCTGCTGTTATTTCCAAAAGCTCTTATGGTTACATCTATAGTTCGTTTTTGTTTGTTTTTTATATTTTACTATAAGGCATGTGCTTTCACCGGACAGAGACAAACAGAAAGAATGAGGTGGAGGGTGAGAAATCATTCCCACAAAAGGGATGGCCACACCACAGTCCCTTCCCCTCCATTTTCCTCTTGAGATTCTGGGCATGCACACACCAGCGCCTGGCAGTTTTGCAAGGCAAACCATGCAGCTGGCACTGTGGGATCCAGCCTCCTTAACCCCTGGACCACCTGTGTCACACAGGTTCATCCTACTCAGCATGACAGAAAACTATGCAAAGGTGAATACTAGGAGGTAAGGACCACTGAGGTCCATTTTTTTTTGGGGGGGGGGGGTTTGCTATAGGGCACGTGCGCTCGCCAGACAGAGAGAGAGAGACAGAGAGACAAAAAGCAAGAAATCACCCCCCAGGGAGGATGGCCAGGCTGCAATCCCTTCTCCTCCATTCTCCTCTTGGGATCTTGGGCACGCACACACACATGCCCAGCCTGACTTTAAGCCACCAGGTCCGGGACTCAAACCGCAGTCAGCTACATGGGAGTCCAATGACATAGCCATTATGCTAACTGCTGGTCCCTCACTGAGGTCCATTTTGATAGCTACCTGCACACTACAGTTTGTCTCCAAAAGGGAACATAAACGAGAAACATGTATTCAACTGTCATTTTAAGAATCCAGAAAAATACTGGGAAATCTTTCAAATTTTTTGGTATACAATGAAGAAACAGCAGAAGAGCTGATTTGAAGACGTGAGCCTGCAATCATCAAATAAAAGTATTTTTATGCCAGCCTCTGGTGTGATGGTGAAGGCAGCTGGATTTCAGTGGCAGAATACACAGTTCAGAGCCTGGGACTTGGCAGCATGCTGGGCACGTGCACATGTGTGCCTAAAGTCCTGAAAGGAGGGAGAAATGTAAGAGAAAGGGTTGCAGCATGACAGTTCCTCTAACTCTCCACCCCATCATCTCTGGAGAGGGCATGTGTCCTCTGGAAAAAATGTTTTTAAAGTGTTTTTATTATAATACCCTGACAAGATCTATTGCTCCTGTGCTCAGAAATATGCAAATCAAGATAAATAAAGAAAATGTACATGGGACCAGCAGTTAGAGTAATGGCTATGCTGCTGAACTCCCATGTAGCCGACCGTGGTTCGAGTCCCGGACCTGGTGGTTTAAACTCACGCCGGGCATGTGTGCGTGCGTGCCCAAGATCCTGAGAGGAGAAAGGAGGATAAGGGATTGTGGTGTGGCCATCCCCCAGGGGGTGATTTCTCGCTTTCTATCTGTGTCTCTGTCTTTCCGGAGAGCACACAAGCCTTATAGCAAAAACCTCTCAAAAAAAAAAAAAAAAAAAAAAGAAAGAAAAAAGAAAATGTACAGAGATGACACCATATTGGTAAATTATGACACTTTTGGGTT